TTGGCAAAACCTAACTTTTATGTATAATTTTATGTTGAAATGTCCCGGTTTATAACGTTATCTGACAACGTTAGTTTTTAATGTTATAAAAAACGTGGGATTTACGTATTATAAAACGTTGCAAATACGTGGGTTTTGTGTATTATACAACGTTGCTTTTATGTATAATAAAACGTTGCAAATACGTGGGATTTGTGTATTATACAACGTGGGAAATATGTGGGTTTTGTGTATTATAAAACGTTGGAAATACGTGGGATTATTGTATCATAAAACGTTGGATTTTTTTATAAATTTGGGTAGGATTTTTCTTTATTATTGGAAAATTTAATATATATTTAAAAACAACAAAAATTTATTGTACAAAAAAAATACTTTGGAAAAAAAATTCCCAATTAACAAAATCTAAAAAATATTATCTAATAATATTATACTTAAAGTAAACAAATTAAATTATAACAAAATAGCTTTAACAAAAAATTTACAATGGTATTTTAAAAAGAAAAAATATTGCCTATATATATATATAACAATTTTCTATACAAGATACTACAACTTTTAAATCAATATTAAAATTAATTAAAAATACCCAATTAACAAAATCTAAAAAATATTATTAATATAATATTATATACTTAAAGTAAACAAATAAAAATATAACAAAATAGCTTAGACAAAAAATTTTCAATGGTATTTTGAAAAGAAAAACTATTGCCTATATTCATATAGGTATTAACAATTTTCTAGATACAAGATAGTACAACTTTTAAATCAATATTAATAAAAATCTAAAAAATCCTATTTAAATATTAACTAGAAAAATTCAAATATAAGTAACATAACTTAAAACATGGCCTAAAAAAAATAACAATGCTGGTATTTTAAAGAGAAGAAATATTGCCTATTAACAATTATTACAAATTTTCTAAATAAAGGATTAAACAAATTATAAATTAGCAACAAAAATAAAAAGTCAAAGAAATTTGAGTAGTTACCTAGTTAAAATATAAGTCTAAATAAAACAATTAACAATGAAGGTGAGTTTAAAGTCACAAATTTTTAATTTTCATTAAGGGTTTTGATGCTTGGCAAAATAAATTTTAGCAATTACGAATATATAAGAAAAAATGTGAGGATTTTTGCTTTTGAATAAAAATTTAGAGCACAAGCATTAAAAGGAAAAAATACAAGCAAAAATAGTATTTTTGCCTATATTTTTTTATACACTTGAAAGTTTTAAAATTGATTTTGTATAGTATACAAATTTATTTATTAAATGCAAAAGATTGTGACCTAAAATTGATTTACATATGGATATAATTTATTAATATAAAAATTATTAAGAACCTTTGATTGTTAAAAAAAATCTAATAGATTTGGCTGGTAACCAACACACAATGGTAAATGATCTCCAGTGTCAGCAAACATTAGAAAAGTTGAAAAATAGTTTAATATTCTGAGTTTCCTTTTTTCACAACATTTTGTTGTTTCCCTGGGTAACCAGGTGCTGGCAAAGCATCCCTTATTTCCTTTACTTCTGAAAAAATATTGGTTTATCACATCATCATGAACTTCTGATCTGGATCTTTTTAGATTTTTAGCATTCCTTTGAGTAATCACAATTTTTGCCTCCGGAAAGAATTTAGCCAGTCATTGCCAGGAAGGTTTTCTTTAAAACAACTAATTATCACTGCTTTGTGGTTTAGATATGACTGCACTCTTTTGTCTCTTGTCTTGCAAAAGATTATCCATTATCCGCAGATCATCTGTGGCAGATGTAATCATTACACTTGCAATCTACCCAAAGGATAGACGATTGTTTATCACCGCTGCCACGGCCAATTCAATATTTTCTGGGTGATAATTTCTTTGATACACTGTTCCAGGAACATGTTTATGCTTTTAAGGCATCGTCACAGAACAAAACTTATTTTACATAAGGCATCATCCAAATAACCCTAAAAATCCATGCAAAAAGCAACTGTTTAAAAAAAACACTAACAAATTGTTTGTGGTGATTGTTTAGGTTACTAAAAGTTATTTGCCATCCCTATCAGATAAAAATTACCTTATCTTTTAATTATTTTTCCAAAAAACACGGAAGAATTTGCACAAAATTTCGCACGATGTCAACACTTAACCTAAAATAAAGAAATAAACACTTCGTGATAGAGCGGTAAATTTGAATTTTTCTTCGTTTGTTCCGTGTAACCCATAGAAATAATACCACAGAATTTTGTGATAATACTATGGTGTAACCTCTGTTGTTCCATCACCTAACTACGATAGTAAACCTTTATTGAAACTATAATAATTTTAGGTACCTATCTAAAAGTAGGTTTTGTGTATTTCGGCCTTATTTTTAAAACTATGACTTTAAAAATTATATTGCATAGTTAAATTTGATTTTACTTTTATAACTAATGTTACAAAGACTAAAAATTTTAAAAAAATCCACATTAAAAATTTTCTCGACGGGACTTAAAATAATTTTATGTTGCTAAATGTGTGTTTTGGAACGTTGCTGCAACGTTTCTAGCATACAATTTTACAACGTAGTTTGAAAGTGAGTTTTGTGTATTTCGATCGTATTTTTGATATTATATCTTTAAAAAATGTATTGCAGAGTTTGATTTTACTTTTATAAATAATTTATTATAAAAAATAAAAAAAATCCACAATAAAAAATTTGCCGACGGTACTTAGAATAATTTTATGTTGCTAAATGTGTGTTTTGGAACGTTGTTGCAACGTTTCTAGCATACAAATCTACAACGTAGTTTGAAAGTGGGTTTTGTGTATTTCGATCGTATTTTTGATATTATAACTTTAAAAAATGTATTGCAGAGTTTGATTTTACTTTTATAAATAATTTATTATAAAAAATAAAAAAAAAACAAATTAAAAAATTTGCCGGTGGGACTTAAAATAATTTTATGTTGCTAAATGTGTGTTTTGGAACGTTGTTGCAACTTTTCTAGCATACAATTTTACAACGTAGTTTGAAAGTGGGTTTTGTGTATTTCGGTCATATTTTTGATAATATGACTTTAAAAATGTGTTGAAGGGTTTTATTTTACTTTTATAAGTAATGTATAATAAAAAAAATTTGAAAAAAAAATCCTCAGTAAAAAAAATTTTCGTCGGGACTTTGAAAAAATTTTATGTAGGGTTTTGGAACGTTGTTGCAACGTTTCCAGCAATACAATTGTGCAACGTTGTTTGAAAGTGGGTTTTGTGTATTTCGCTCATATTTTTGATATTAGGACTTTGAAAATGTGTTGAAGGGTTTTATTTTACTTTTATAAGTAATGTATAATAAAAAAAAATTGAAAAAAAAATCCCCAGTAAAAAATTTTTGTCGGGACTTTGAAAAAATTTTATGTAGCCAAACGTGGGTTTTGGAACGTTGTTGCAACGTTTCCAGCAATACAATTCTGCAACGTTGTTTGAAAGTGGGTTTTGTGTATTTCGCTCATATTTTTGATATTAGGACTTTGAAAATGTGTTGAAGGGTTTTATTTTACTTTTATAAGTAATGTATAATAAAAAAAAATTGAAAAAAAAATCCCCAGTAAAAAAATTTTTGTCGGGACTTTGAAAAAATTTTATGTAGCCAAACGTGGGTTTTGGAACGTTGTTGCAACGTTTCCAGCAATACAATTCTGCAACGTTGTTTGAAAGTGGGTTTTGTGTATTTCGCTCATATTTTTGATATTATGACTTTGACAATGTGTTGAAGGGTTTTATTTTACTTTTATAAGTAATGTATAATAAAAAAAATTGAAAAAAAAATCCTCAGTAAAAAAATTTTCGTCGGGACTTTGAAAAAATTTTATGTAGCCAAACGTGGGTTTTGGAACGTTGTTGCAACGTTTCCAGCAATACAATTCTGCAACGTTGTTTGAAAGTGGGTTTTGTGTATTTCGCTCATATTTTTGATATTATGACTTTGAAAATGAATTGAAGAGTTTTATTTTACTTTTATAAATAAAGTATAAGTATAAAAAATTAAAAAAAAATCCTCATTGAAAGATTTTCGTCGGGACTTAGAAATAATTTTATGTATCTAAACGTGGGATTTGGAACGTTGCTGCAACGTTTCCAGCAATACAATTCTGCAACGTTTCCAAGACAACGTTTTAACTACGTATTTCCCACTTAAAATCATACATTAAAATAACGTTTCCAAGACAACGTTTTAACTACGTATTTTCCACTTAAAATGATACACTAAGACAACGTTATGAGTATAACAAATTATTATACAAATTTGCAACGTTGTCTGAATGTATGCAAACGTTATTTTCTACCAGGGTAGACACTACAATTAATTTTTTTTTCAAGGAAATACTTTAATAGCGTATTTTTTAATTTCTGTTACTAAAATGGACTTAATATATTATTATTAACTTCTTTAAGTTGATTGCCTGAAAAGTTATTAAAAACTGGATACGCCTTTACTGCCCTACTATGGGACCATTCCACGCTTAACGGATGTTAAAACCTTGTTAAACAGCTTTAGTTTAGAAATATTTATAAAAATTTGACATTGGTAATATAATAGAACAATATTAATTTGTAAATAAAAACACGGCAACTGTCCTATCCGTTAAGCGTGGAATGGCCCTATGGAGAAAGGCAGTAACTGCTAAACAAGAAATTTGTGGAAAATTAGCATAAACTACATTTTGATAAAAAGCAGTATTGATTGATTTTTATAAATTATGAGATATTTGACTGCATTTCTATGTTGAATTCGGTTACAAAATTTCCAAATTTTTAGCACAAGAAAAAGCATTTTGCATTTTTTTGCAGTTACTGCCTTTCTCCATAGTAGGGCAGTTTAGCCCTTTAGTATTTTCATTGGCTTTTGCCTATATAGGATCTTTAACAGGACATAACTTATAATATGAATTTTTTTATCAGTTGATGTTTGACTTTACTAAATAAAGATAATTATTACTACTAAATATTTTAATTTTAATGTGTAATTGCAGGTGATGAAATGGAGGATAGTGTAATCAGTACAAATGACCAAGGTTTACTTGAAACTTCTCAGGGTGGCACTGGAGAGTTAAGCCATTTGATTGTATGGCAAGTGGCTAACAATTAGGAACACCAATTTTAATTGTTTTATTTAAGTAAATTTCGCAAAACATTTTATTTGCTGCTTCCCATTCCAGTGGGATTACTGTTTTTTATCTTTGCTGAATATTTTATGCTTTGATGTATGTAAATATTCCAGTCTTGTGACTCGAACATATTTAATCATGTTTAATTAGCTAGTCGATTTTTGTAATTTGGGTATCCCCAGATTTGATTGGATGGAAAGCAGCTTATAACTAGTTCTTTTAATAATTAAGATTTTTATTAGTGATAAAAACCTAAAATTTATTAATTATATAGATATTTTATCATTTTAATTATATCCAATTTTTGTAAAATTGTAAAAAAATATTGTTGAATTATGTATCATTTTTAATTTATATATTTATTTGTACATTTTAGTGAATGCCTAGCCAATTATGATTTGTATGATGTATTGTGCTTTGTTTTTATAAATAAAATTTACAAAAATATACCTTTTATTCATCAAACTGCTTACAATGTTTCAAACCTTGTTTTGTAATAAAATATTAAATAAGTGGGATAATTTTATTAACAAATAAATTTAACAAATTTTAGTAATTACCATAACAGAGGTTGTTGCAACCTCAAAGTTTTATTAATAGTAATCACAATTAACCATTCACATCTTTTATTTTAAATCAATTAATGTTCTTTTGAGACCATATGGCGAAGTAAGTTATTTATGAATTTGTCTATTTTCCTTACATCCTGAGCTATTTCTGTTTTAAATTGTAAACACTAAAAATGATAGATCAATACAAATACAAGATTATACTCAAAAGTCTAAACTTACCACTACATCATCAGTCATTTTTAAAATTAATATACTTTTGTTGTGAACATACTTCATTGAATATCGAACTTTTGCTGGCTCTTGTAGATACAATTTTTCAGCAGCTCTTTCAAATTCTTCCCATGATTTTAAATAAGTCATATTAGTAGAAATCAGTTTATAGTGGTTGAATTACAACCCTAGACAAAAACAAGGATTACAACACATGTCAAAATTCCAAATGCAAACGTCATCTGTAAAAATCGTAAATATTGCAATTGTACCAACTAAACTTGACAAAAAAATATTACTAACTTAAGCTTGATTTATAGATTGCCTTCCTTCCTTCCGTAAAAGATGAACAATACAAAACCCGTAGTGCTGTTTATAGATTACCGTACGGGAGGAAGGAAGAAAAGTAATCTATAAATCAGACTTTAAAATTAAAACGTTTTGTAGGCATTGCTTCTGAGAAATTTATTGTTTTTCATTTATTGGATAACTCCAAAAGGCTAACGACACTACTCTTTCTACTTTTTTACAATAAATATTCATTTACAACACAATATATAATATTTAAAATATTATATGTTTACAAAAAAAAAGTATTACAAAAATAAATCAGTGTAATATTATATTTATTTCTTCTAAATATGTAATTTTGTTTACAAAAAACATAAATATTATTAAAGCCTGATTTATAGATAGCCTTCCTTCCTTCCTCCCGTAAAAGTTAAACAATACGAAAACATTAGAGCTGTTTATAGATTACTGTACGGGAATCTATAAACAGCACTACGGTTTTTGTATAGTTCAATTTTTACTGGAAGGCAATCTATAAATCAGGCTTTAAAATCTTAAGTACAAAGAATACACAGAAATGTGGCAACATCCCTAAAATACACCAACAAAAATGTAAAATTCCCTAGAAATTTTCGGGATACCACAACAACGGAACAAAAGTTTCTTTCTTATTGTTACAGCAAAAGAGGAGCAATGGTAAGTTTTTTATCCTTAATTATTTTTGTAATCCAAGTAGATTTTGCTCTTTTTATTGTAAAGATAAATTTATATTAGTAATAATAATGTGTTGATATGAAAATGTTTAGGTATATTGAGATATAAAGTATTTTTTTATTTTGTTTTAGTCTGCTCATAAAACCTTTATAATCAAGCGTAAGCTTGCCAAAAAGCTTAAACAAAACAGACCAATTCCCCAATGGGTTCGCATGAGGACCGGAAACACTATCAGGTATGTTTATTTTTAACTTTTAAGATCTAAAAACTTGAATTTAAAATTTTGAGGTTATGTCCGAACCGTAATAGAGGCTTAAGGCGTATTCATGCTCACTTAAAATAAGATCGCGATTAATCGTTCATGCTGATAGCATAAGAAATAAAAAATGTTTCCCACAATTATATTCTATTATAGTGAATTATATTCTGGCTATAAACGTAAACAATCGACAGTGACACTCAACGCGATCTCCAACACCATGGAATCCATGGCCAGCACATAAAACCCTTAAAACCAATTCACTTACCAATTTTGTCCTTTGCGCAGTTTTATACGCAAAAATAAGAACCAAAGTTAAAAGTTATGTTTCTTTAGTCGTATTTCTTATTTTCATGAACGCAACCATTACTTTACACAGTTTTAACTTATTTCTTATTTTAAGTGAGCATGAATGCGTCTTAAAGCAATAGAGGTGGCAAGTTTGATTTCGATTATTAGTTAAAAAATGTGCTTAACGGCCATTTCAAGCGCGCGAAACGTACGAATTACAAAACTGTTTTATTCTTCTATTATTAGACTATACATTAAAAAAAAAACGCAAAAAATGTGTATATGATGTTGTATAATAAGAATATCTATAGACATAAAAATGTTTAATTGATAATACTGCACATAAAAATGTGAAAATATAAATTGTCAATTTTCGGACAAGGTAATGATTTGAGACCATCGATAGTTAGAGCCGTATTATCCATAGGGCACTGTGCCCTGGGCCTATGACAGAGGCGAGTTTGTCAATTATTTTACAAACAAAAAATTATTTGAATAAAAATATTAATAAAAAATATCACAAACCTTAAAAATATACAAACCATTTTTATATTGATACTGCTAATCCATTTAAATAACTATTTTATTTTAATCATTTCCACCCAACTGGGTATTCTAATAACACCAACTATAAAAATTAATTAATAATCTTTCATTATTATTATTATATTTACGACAGTTCTTGGGTCTCTAGCTTCTCTAGTGCTCACTAATTAGTTTATACAGGAATTAAGCCTAGTGCGTCCATGTCGAAAAAAATCAAATTTTAGGTTTAAATTCTTTTTTCTTTTATAAAAATTGTAAATCTTATAACGCAAAAAAACTGGGGTCAAAAATACCTTATAAGGGAGCTAGGTACGACCCTTTTAAAGATGGCACTTACATTTTTTAGAGGACACCTAATGTAATTAATTATATTTTTCAAAATTTTTGAAACAAATAAAAATAAAGCCTTTTTGCCTACAAATTTTCGCACCTTGTTTCTATTTTGTTACACTTTTGAAGCATGTGGGAAATAAATAGATGCCCAAAATATAGCAATATTAAAAAATGGAAAATACAAATGAAACATTTTTATCACGAAATTAGTGATATGGTTTTTCAGATATTAGAATTTTGTAAATAAACAATATTGCCACACCCAGAAAGGAAGGAAACTTGTTAATTGATTTTATTGGTTTTATGCAAGGAATTTTTGAACCACATAATATGTATATTACACTTTGTGAGTAAATAATATATGCACTGAGTTTAAACACAGTTACATGGCTTAATGTAATTGTAAAACTTTTTGATGCTATATAAAATTATTCTTTATTTGCAACCCATGTTTACGAAATACTAAACATGTTACTAAAAAGAAAAAACATTTTTTTAAATTAAAGGCTTATTTAAGTAATAAACGCATTGATTATTTTTTTACTTAAAAATTCAGCGCAATTGCTTTAAAAAATTATATAAAAGAAAAGTTTATTTTCCAAATTTTAATTGATAGATTACTAATAATTATTATTTGTTTCAGATACAATGCTAAGAGGAGACATTGGCGTAGAACTAAGCTTAAGTTGTAAGCTATCTATATCTTAATGACTTGTATATCTGAATAAAAGGGTGTTTCTTTATAAGCATGTTTTAATGTTTAAATACCGTAGTATGATTTTTGAAAGAAGCAACTTTTGTCCTTAATTTGTAAACTGGTAAAAATTGTCCAAAAACTCCCTTAACAATCTAAATCCCTATACGTTCAAGATCTGAACCAATTTTAATTTTAAATAATATTTAGTAATTTTAATATTCATTGAAACTTGTATTTTCGTTATTTCAATAAGAAATTTCGCAGTTTCTGATCAAATGTTTTTGTGCTTCAAAAAAAGAACAGTTGATGCTTTAATTGTTTAAAGCAGGGTTGTGAACCGTGACAAAATTGCGGTCCATGGACCGGTTCGCCAGCGGTTCAGTTAAAAAAACGGTCCATGTAACCGGACCGTTTGTGGAACGTTTATGTTGGACCGGTCCAGCAAAAAAAGGTTCGACTGAACCGGTCCGTTTTTGAACATTGAAAGTGTGGACTGCCAAAAACGGTACGGTCCACGGTGTATGAACCCTTTCTTGTATATTTATTGGAAACTTATTTTGAAATGACAAAGAAATTCTAATATTCAATTGAATAATGAATTTGATAAATTATTTTATTTACTAAAAGTGAGGTTAAATTCGTCAATGTCAAATATTTATAAATTAAAATTGACATAAAATTCTTATTTCTGTTTATTGTAGATAAAGTATAGTATGCAGCACGTTTTATAAACTTCTCTGGATACTTTCTTTTATTATACGCTCCCTCGCAAGTTTCGCTTGTGCCTAATACGTCTCGTAACTAAAATGGCGTTTATAAAACTTAGAGGCCTATTCCCTTTCTTGCTGTTCGTAAACATCGATTTCTTAACATGTATGTTCACCCAACGACAACCCAAACATCACCTATGTTTAAGGCTATTCCGTTTCTCATATGTTGAAAGTCTTGACCTTGAATCTCTCTGAACAGCGATAAATGTTTCTAGGACAGAGAGTATACTCTCTGTCCTAGAAGATATACCTATCTTAGTTTTATAACCTAAAAGTCGCAGATCGTAAACTAAAATTTTAAAAATCATTATTGATATTTAATATGTAGGTATATTAAATGAACTTAAATACAACTTTGGAAAATCCACAAATTCTAAAAATACTTGGGAAAAACGTTTTATGCTGAACTAGCCAAAGCACAGATCTTCTGGCGGGGCCATTAAGTCCATTCTTATATGGAAAAGGGTAATCATAAAATATCTTAAAATAATTATTTATTACTTATTTTTACATACTTTTAGTGTATTGAAAATACAAGTACGAGATAGAACATACCACATTGTGGTAACCACAATCCACAATCTCATGCTAAAAATACTAAAAATCACTGCACAGAGTTTAACGGCGGCCATTTTTGTTGTTTACAATTCTTGTGCTGTTTAATAATTGTTTTAAACGTTGTGTTTCTTACAGAAGCACTTGTAAGCCTCAAATAAGGCCTTTAACCCAGGTAGCACAACGTAACGAAATCTTGACGTAAACGAGACGTTTTCAGACAGTCGTGACTTGGACGTTATTTAAAAATCGTAACGTTTTCAATTAAAAACAGTTGCCAAACCGCGCTAAATTTAAGCATAGTTTTTGTGACGAATACGTTACATTAATATGAATAAAAATCTTCACGATGTAGTTAAGAATACGCCACGGATTCTTCACGATGATTTGTCACGGTTTCGTCACGACGCTTCGTTACCGAATAGTGAACTGAACTGGTCACGTAATTGTGGCGTATAGTTGCATTATTTGGGGGTGTAATAATATTGTGTAGTGTAATGCAGTGCAGTACGGTATAGTGGGTTGTTTTGTGTATTGTGGAATTATTGCTTACCTTCAAAGTTTTTTAATTTGATTTTAACCTTATTATCAGGTTGAAATCAAATTACAAAACTTTGCAGGTAAGCAATAATTCCACAATACACAGAACAACCCACTATACTGTACTGCACTGCATTACACTACACAATATTATTACACCCCCAAATAATAACATATTGTTGTTAGGATTGTTTAGTTTTGCAATGTTAATGCAAAGAAAGCACATTTAACTGAATTATATTTTATTAGAAAAACAATAA